GGGGGTCGGGGGAGTTAATAATGATGATTGGTGACAAATGAGAATAACAACGAGAAAAATGATAAATTAAGGTATGTGAAATTAAGCACCCGAGCCTCGTCAATGCCAAAAAGGAGTGTTTTAAGATGAAACTCAAAGAAAAGCATACTGGTCACACTCTTAGTGTACCCCCAAAAGATCACAATCATGGAAGGTATTAGAGGCTCATACTTTGCAAGACTAGGTATGTGAAATTAAGCACCCGAGCATTGTCAATGCCAAAAAGGATTGTTTTAAGATGAAACTCAAAGAAAAGCATAGTGGTCACACTCTTAGTGTACCCCCAAAAAATCACAATCATGGAAGGTATTAGAGGCTCATACTTTGCAAGACTAGGCACTTTGATGCATTCCCGAAGCATATTCCCACAATGCAAAGCTATTTCCTTATTATCGTAGCTGTTCATAGACAAAAAAAATTGTGCAACATGAGCATTTGAGCAATTCAACAGATTCAGGCATTATAAGTGGGTGAACAGGAGTGTGGTGAAGGGAAAAAATTATTGTGCAAATGCTAATCATATTTCTTTCCATGGTCTGACAGAATATTGCATAATATGCATATACTGTAAATTTCAAATTAATATGTATACGGATATGAGCCTTGGAAAAGTTGCTCCATGTGGTGGTGCAATTTAGCAATTTAATATTAATTTTAAGGTGATGAAAAATTTGCATCCTGATAAGCCAGAAATTGGTTTTCCACTCTTTTCTCTAGTCCTTATAATTGAAAACTAGCAAGGTTCCATTACGTATCATTTGTTTGAACTATGTCAAAAGTTCAGATATAGAGTTTTTTTTGCTTGGATCCGTATAATAGAAAATTAGTAAAGTTTGATCAAATAACATTTGTTTGAAATGTGTTTAAAAAATAGAAACCCTCATGACTTCCCATTGTATAGCTCATGTTACCAATTATCATACTAAAATATAATGAAGTACAAACCACAAAGTCTCATATGGCATTCCTCTAAACATTATTGTCCTTTGACTGATTCCTCCTTTCTCTAATTTTATTCAGTCTAGAAAAGAGGTTGAAGAAAACACTGGTCATTCTAAAACAGTGTCAGCATAGAACCCTATTTTTTACAGCCACAACAGTTCAAAGTTACTTGAAAGTTACAATGGCTCAACTTATTCGAGTGGAGTTCCTGAGAAACTAACCCCAGCACATGTTCAGAACCACATGTCCACATCTCAAACCTACTATAAACCCACGAGCCTCTCCTTCAGGGATTTGGCTAAAATTTCCTGGTGTTCCAATAGCGCTACCGCCATGAACACCACTAGATTCCTATCTTGCCACTAGCAAGTGATCGTGTACTCAATTTTTTGTCCTGATCCTCCACAACATAGGGTTGAATTGATCTAGATCACAAATCGAATCATTGATTTTTTGCACAAAAAATTAACACAATAATTAAACCACACAAACAAGTTTAGATAATTTGATACTAAATGACTGAAATTTCATATTAAAATACATTAATACATCACAATTCAAGCAATTTAATGATCAACAAATATTGCAGATTGCACCTGATTATCACAATTTTTATTGATCCAACATCTTTTTATATGTTTTAGATAAACTAATTTGGTGCACAATATGATTTGTTTTAGCTTGTGAGGCAGTGAAGGGAAAAAACCACTATATTTTTTAATGAAAGGATCTGAAGGAAATGATATACAAAAACTGCAATCATCCATCTTACACTAAGCAACCAGCCCCAACAATTCCTTTTTTAGGACAAAAAACTACAAAACTTAATGTGCTTACCAAACAACAAGGAAGTCTAGCAACTCCAAGTGGTTTTCCATGTACCTCACACAACAGAATATGGAGTCATCAAGTTTTTGTCTCAACATTACAGTCCAACACTGAACTAGATTTTTTCTTGCCTGAGCATAGTATAAAGAAATTATTAAGAGGTATATTGACTGAAGATTTTAGCAGTTGTATACTTTTCTGATAAATTTGTACAGTATTTCCTTAGGAGGAACTGTAACTTACTTCCCATCCCAGTACTGGTAATTGGTGAAAGAAAAGAGCAATGACATCCTCATTACATATTTCAATTGTCAATTGCAAAACCTGATCCGAGTTTGGCTCCGCCTCTCCATCTCCTAAAAGCATGACTTTCATTGACATAATATTTTTCTCAGCTTCTTCCAATGCCTGTATCAAACAAGGTGAATTTGAAAGTTTCAATGACTATAATACTGAACTTTTCTCTGGCATTCTGCATGCTCTTTTCTCTAGTAGCCTCTGTTTCACCTCAGTCCAAACACACACATAGCCACTTCTCTAAGTTCCTAATGGATTTCCTTCCTGGTCCAATGTAAAACCTACTAAGAGTTTGAACCACTCTACATCAACTAATTAAACATAGTTTAATAACGTCATACATACCCCGTAGTATTAGTTAAACTTTTTATCTTTTTTCTTGATTTTAAGTTCTCCATGGCTTTGAGTTCTCCGTGACAAAGACGTCCACTGTTGACTAAGTGATCCAAGCGCTTGTTACACTAAATGGGAAGTGATTACCTCCACCATTTCCAAAGGTTCCCGCAATGACTCCCCATTTCCAATGGTGTCTCCTTTCCTCTTCCTCAAAAGCCAACAATGTAATTAGTCCTTGTCCCTATAGACTAAAGATGTTAGAGCTACAGTCTTTTTTTCAACCGCAAAGATGACAGCACGGTAATCAAAACTGCAACCCTAACTCCTTATTGACTAAGATGAAATAGCCAAGTTTGTGCTACGTACAGCGACGCATGTGGTCGTAGAGTGTTTATGTGTTGCACATACACTAGCTCAGGCTAGTGAGTGATTGTCTGGGGTTGCCATAGGTCGCCAAGAATTTGATAATAATTTAAAAAGGGATTTCAAGAATATTAAAAAATTAACAAAAATGAAATTTATATTTTTAAAGAAGTCCATGTTATGGTTGAAGTCAATTAGAAAAGCATTTTACCTGGTTTACGCTATTTTCTAGTGTATCTGTGATTCCTTCTTCCGGTTTTAGTTTGTTAGATTATGATATCCTCCATATTATGCATATAGCTACACCCTCAGCAATCGTCCACAAGCCTATAAGTGATTGGCTGAATATTCTGATATACAAATATATAGGAATGGATAAGCATGTGCTTTTTGTTCACTAATCTTGGTGTGCTTTGGGAAACAATAAGAATTAAAGCCTTCGCGAATTTCTTTACCTTAGAAGAATCACGCCTTTCATATTTCCACCAATCAACACCCTCATCTTAAATAGCAATCAGTTTTTTCTCTACTTTAGAAGTATAAATCTATTGTCATTAGTCCAACGCTCGTGAAAGCTAGTTGGATGTTACTCTATATTGTTTTTGTATGAAGTACATGATAGCCTAATACAATCCAAGATGAATTCCTAAAAGTGACACATATGCAGAATGAACAGACCATTAAATGGACAATATAAATTGGTTATAGTATCATCATTTCTACAAAATGTCATAAACTTCACCAGAAATATGTACAAGATCTACACGTATGATGGAACATAAAGAACAACTATGTGCCTATGTCATTTCATTTCATGTCCATATATGGCTGAAAAGTTTTATTACAGAATTGAGACATTTTCTTAGCCCAACAGAGTTTGTTAGACTAACTTAACTAGCAAGCCACGCCTTGTTCTTACATCAAGTATTATCTCCTGGTATACTTCTGTAGTTCCATGGTAAATCTACTTCAAAGACTTTTTGGTGATTTTACATAAAATCTCCTTGCATTTTCTTTAAGTGCATAATGCTGAAGACTTTGACAATGTGGGAGTGTGAAGTTCATATTAATTGATTATGGGTGTTTCTTTTTTTTTTCAAACCAACTTACAAGAAAAAAAAAATATATGCAAAAAAAAAACAGAAGTAGGCAGACAGCATCCCCATTATTTGGTTAAGCTACAAAACAGCAAAAAGCCAAAAACTCAACTTACAGTAGCTAACTCACTCTCCCACTTCAACTCCAATTCACTATAAGAGGCTAAAACTGAAATATATCTGCTACACATTCTTTAATAGTTTTGCTAGTCCTCATGGAGTCATGGGATCACAAGGAGTGGCTTGAAAAATATTCTTGTTTCTATCATTCCAAACCTCATAGTGAACTGCAGCGGTGCTAGAAATCAATTAGTTCTTCTTCACCATTGGTTTTCGATTTAATAGACTACTATGCCATTGCTGAAGAGTGGCAGGAACATCAGTAAATCTTAGCCAATAGATAATCTGCTTCGAAATAGTTTTGGTATACGGACCAATAAGGAAAAGATGATCCAAACCCTAGATGCACTAAAGATATACTCCCTCAGTCCCCAAAACAATTACCTACTTTGGCTTCACTGAGTTCAAGAAAGTATTGAAAAATTAAAACTTTGGGTTTAGAGTTTGTTTAGAGGTGAGAAATGTTGTAAGCCACCTATTCTTGTTCTTGGAGGGAGTAAGAAGCAAAGAAACAATCATTATCTTTCCCTATAATCAAGCCAAAAAAAAGAGAGGATTAAGAACACACATACGCGGTATCATCTAAGACCGCACCCACATAACCAAAACAACTTCAGGGGATTTCAGCAATTCAGCGACATGGATAAACTAACACATTTATGAATTGCCAATTTAGGGAGGAGAAAGCAAAAAAGACGAACCTTTTCGCGCGCTTTAACTTCGGCGACGGTCTTGGAATCGAGCGCCATGAGGCTCTCTTTGACGGCCTTAACGAGCTCCGGCGGGTTTTTAGGCCTCAACGGCTTGAAAAAGGAGAACGACATTCCTGGGCAGAGCTTCTAGCCTCCGCGGAGCAGATGAATCGACGTGAGTGATCAATGGACCGACCACACCACCCCCAGCAGCAGAGCTTCTCTCTAACGTCCTATGCATACATTGGCATATGCGTATCAATCCATCAATCTATCTATCTTATCAAGTTGTGGAAGAAAATTCAGCAATCTGAAGAGGATTACGAGACTATGGGATGATAGTTGTAGATTCTGTTCTTGGTATTTTAGGATCTAATGATGGTTTGGAAATTGGAATTTACCAAACAATCAAACATAATTAAGGGCCCGTTTGATTGGCTGAATAGCGACGATCTATTCTGTAACTTCGAAGTTCGAACCAGGCTTGAGAAAGAAAATTGCATGCTTGTGCTCAAACTTCACATATTTGCTATTTTTGAACTTTAGTGAAAAAAATTAAATGGTATAAAATGATTTTAAAATGAAATTTTAAACCATAAATAGAAATTTTGTAAAGTTTGTGAGTATTCTATTTGTGAACATAACATTGCTCAAAATTGTATGAACCCCATTACACCTAGCTGTAAATAAGACCTACTCCCTCCGTCTCTAAATATTCACAACATTTGCTTTTTCAGCAGTCGCGGGAACTTTTGTTTATTTTGACGTTTTCATTGATTATTTGATAAAATAAAATATTCTTGACACATCTTATTTCGAAGAACTTTTCATGTAGTTTTTTTATATGTAAATTTTATTTTTTATTTCTATACCAATATCTAAATAAAATGAATTGAAAAAAGTTGATATTTTGCCTCGGAAATACAAATGTGACAAATAATTTGGGACGGAAGAGTACAAAATTCACCCCTACCCGATAATTTGAATTGAATAATTTGAACTGAATTCGAAATGACTCAAAAACTGAAAAACCAAATTAAATCCGAACACTGAAATGATCCGAACTAAATTAAAACTGAAAAAATGTAATCAGACACAATTCATATCCGACTTCTATTTAACCCAAACCAGTTAGACCCGAACCGACTCGAAACCAATTAGACCCAAGAACCAATAAAGACGATATTGATCAAGTTCGAAATAAATTAAATTCAAATGTAGACAAACCCTATAACTTGATGTCTTTCTAAAAAACATATTTAAATTATAGGTACAACTGGTTTAATGTACAAATTTTTTACTACATAAGAAAATGAAAGAAACTAAAAAGAAAAATGCTAGGGGTACATCAAAGGTGTATCCCATTTGTCCCCCACCCCCTCCATCACCACAATAAAAGGCAAGAAAATAAAAAAAAGATTAAATAAATAAAAAAAAAATTGAATGGTGGAGAAAAAGTGGGGGACAAATGGGGTACACGGTGTACCCCTAACATTCCTCAACTAAAAAAGCTCAAACAAACAAACGAGAAGCCGAAAACTTAAAAAATTACTTCTTCCGTCCCTAAATATTCACAATATTTGCTTTTTCAGTAGTGTCGGGAACTTTTGTTTATTTCAACGTTTTCATTGATTATTTGATAAAATAAAATATTGAAGAATTTTGATGTAGTTTTTTCATATCTAAATTTTATTTTTTTATTTTACAGCTGATCCTGCAGCGGAAAAGCCATCGGCGATCTCGCCGCGTCTTTCATTCCAGCGATCGTCGGCTTTGACATTCCCAAACATATTCTACTCAAAGCAACTTAGCATCAAACTATAGTGGCAAATGACCTGTTCTTGTAGCATTAGGGCTTTCTGGATCATCAGCACTCAAGATACTGTCCTCTTCTCTAGGTACGTACCTTGGACTTTAATTTGATATCAATCCCGTCGACGATTAGTTCTGTAATTTGTTCCGAGTTATTTTTTTCAGACGGTTTCCGGTTGTGGAGAAGCGGTGGCGAGCGGCCTGTCAGCTAGAAAATGTGAACTTGGGCGAAGAGAGCGTGAAATCCACGCCGGCCGCGGCCCATCTGCATCCTTACTTGCCGACTGATTCTGAGATAGCTGCCGCATTTGCTGAACGAAAAACTAGGTGAATTTTCATCTTTATGTTGAAACTAGTCGCCTCACTTTTTGTTTTTTGGATAGAAAGCATCTAAGACTATTGATTGCAAAAATGCTGCTCTCTCATTTTTTGTTTTTCCAAATCAGACTTTTATTGAGTAAATAGAAAGTGTACAAGGGGAGGACAAACATGAAAGACCCAAATTTACATATGATAAACATGCGAATAAGTGACCGCATCGAATTTCAAGATGCCAGTGAACCCGTGAATTTTAGGAATTGAATGATCAACATGATTGTCAGATGTAGGAGTGCGTGGAAAGAGAGATGGAGGGAGGCCTTATTGGACTTTTATTGTCGCCAAGGCAACAAATATTATTGATCTCGAGGTCAAAGATGGGGTGGCGCTGTCGTAGCATATTCAAGGTGTCCACAATGTCGATGGAGTTGCTCTCAATGATGAGGTGCTGGATCTGAGAGTCTGAGAGATTGCCCCGAGCACTACCCTCTAGTTGGGCTGAATGGCAAAGTGAAAGAAAGCCCAGAAGATGGGATGATTCGTCCAGTCTCTGATGACCGTGCCCGCTTCGATCCAGTTAAAGTGTCCCTACGTAGCAATGTTCGCGTTGAAGTGACCTCTAGGTGGTGGCTGCCAACAGTTCAGCATGATAATGGGGTGCTTATGAACTATACAGATCTCCACCAGGCAGAGCGGGTTGAGCTCCTTCTTATTTTAGATAGGCCTGTGAAGAGAAATAATAGGCAAGTCCATAAGGATATTGACAATTAGAGAGTTACACTAGTGGCCTGATTGTCATAGAGGAGGGTGTTTCAAGATTTCCAAATATGCCGTATGACCATGATGCGGACATAACTGAGTAAATCATTATTGCGGACTCGGGAGTAAGAAAAGCACTCAACGAGGAAACTATTCTGAGTGGCTTAGGGAGGCATATTGGGCAGGGTCAAAAGAATGAAGAATTGGCTCCAAACAGCAGTGGAGTGCCTACAATGAAGAAACTGATGGTTAATGGAGTCGAGATTGTTACAGAAGGGGCATTTGAAGGGACCATATTACTCAAAAGTGAGGAGGGTATGGATGCTGTGTTAGATATAATCGAGTTTGTTCACATATAACCGAATGGGTAATGAGTCAATGTTCGGGTCAGTTAGTATAGAGTCAAATAGTGTAGTGTGTTTTACATATTTAATTAATTAAAAAAACAGTGGGTAGTTTCTAAAAGGCAGTTATGGGTAGTTTCTATTGTTAATAGGTGTGTTGGTTTGTAATAGTTGTGTTGGTTAGTAAAAGTCATGTTGGTCTGTTCTCTATTTATATTTAGAGAACACAAATAATCCTGTACAGTTTTACATCAATAAAATATTCTACTTTGATTTGATTTGGTCGGTTGGTCCTGTCTAACAATTGGTATCAGAGCAAAAATCCAAGAAGGACCCAACGATCAAAAGGAGCGGTCTGTCTTGTGATCAGAAGTTGTATGATCAGGAGTAGAAGGGCTGCCAGATCATAATACAAAGTGTTAGAGAGTTCCTCGACAATAGATCAAAAATCTTTGACAAGATTCTTCCTCGCCTAGGACAAAAAAAGTAGGTGGCTAATTTTTTCCTTTGGCAGAAGCATTCCATCCAAACAGCGCGGGAAAAACGAATCAGCGGGGTAGCTTTCGTTTAGTGGCTTGGAAGACGGAAAAGCAGGGGCTTGTTTTCTGGTTGATGGTGGATTGCAGGTGGCTGACGACCCGGGAAGGAATCGACGTTAAGAATTTTCTGAAAATTGTCGAAGGAATAAAAGTCGTGCAATGGGAGAACAACAAAAATAGACAGATTGTGACTACAAGGGAGAATAGTTAACAGTTTGCCAACCTTAACCCGAGGAAGAAGGTATGCAAGGTAAACTACTATTCACTAAAAGTGATGGAAAAGAGAACGCTAAGGAGCACAAAACTGAGCATTGTGGTTGCTGGAGCTCAAACCGAGAAGACTTTGGACGTGGCCGAGGTAGAGGTCGGGGGTCCGGGAAAAGTCAGGATGGTGGACAGTTTCAGCGGGAAAAGAGTCGCATTAGGTGCTTCAAGTGCAATGAGTTAGGGCATTTTTTGAACGAATGTCCAAAATGGGATCAAAAGGAACACATTGCATATTTGATTAAAGATGATGATGAACCAACGTTGCTGTGAAGATCAGTGTGAACAAACAACGATTAGGGGCGTGATTGTTAGATATAATCGAGTTTGTTCACATATAACCGAATGGGTAATGAGTCAATGTTCGGGTCAGTTAGTATAGAGTCAAATAGTGTGGTGTCGTTTAGTGTGTTTTACATATTTAATTAATTAAAAAAACAGTGGGTAGTTTCTAAAAGGCAGTTATGGGTAGTTTCTATTGTTAATAGTGTTGGTGATGTGTAGTCATCGGCCCAAAGTGGCCCGCTTGTTGACAACTGAGAGTTAGGAGACCAGATTAGGGTTTCGGCCGGCCCAAATGGTTTTAAGCCCAGTTTGCTATAACTTGTCCAGCAAGGGTTAAACCCTAATTAGTTGTCTATATATATGATCTCCTGTACTTGTAATCATCATCACTCAATAATACAAATCCTAGTTGCCCCTGTGGATGTAGGTCAGATTAGACCGAACCACGTTAAATCTCGTGTTCTTTATCGCTTTCTTGCTTTATATTCGTGTGTGTGCTTTTGTTCTTAACAAATAGGTGTGTTGGTTTGTAATAGTTGTGTTGGTTAGTAAAAGTCATGTTGGTCTGTTCTCTATTTATATTTAGAGAACACAAATAATCCTGTACAGTTTTACATCAATAAAATATTCTACTTTGATTTGATTTGGTCGGTTGGTCCTGTCTAACATGCTGTTTGTGGCCCTCCAAAGCCGTGAAGATATCTTTTCTGGGAAATCCTTGGGTCAAAGGGAAGGGTTATGAGGCAAATTACGATTCCTGGGGCGAATAATTTTATAGGTGCGCTTGATGGTGAAGCTACTCTTAGAATCAGGCATCCAAATAGGCACGTCCTCTCTATCCGTAAAATGGAGAAGCTTCCTGCATAGGTCCCATCGCACATTTGGGGGAAAGAGGTCAAATGTCAAGTAAGTGTCCCCCATGAAGGCTTTCCGATAATGAGGTCTTGGTTCACAACCTTTGGATAAAAAATGTGTTCCAGAAGGATCCCAATGCCTCCCCAATTAGTATACCCGAAGGAGCTATTACCATTGCCTATGTGAAAGGAGATGTTGGACATGAAGAGCAGGCAAACATTCCGCTGAGCATTCCAGAAATGGAATTGATGATGTTGGGTAAGACGGTTGAAGTAGTTTGCCGAGATGCCTTTGTTCTGAAGAATCTTCCACCAAAGCTTAAGGTGGAAGCAGTCTCATGACCAGATTTCAGAAACCAAACCCATATTCCTTGATGGGGTAACAATTGTGATTTCAAGCACGCCACACGTGCCTGGGAATTGGGATTGTCAATGTTCCTATCCTAGAGGAAGTCCCTACAGTTGTTCCTAATGTCAGTAAGGACTAGGGCATGAATGGGCATGGAAGCAAGGGCATGCTAGATGAGGGCGACTCTATCACTGATGGAGAGAAGTTTATGCTTCCAACCACTGAGCTTGATGTTCACACTGTGGAGGATGTGCTCAAAAATAGATATGTTTAGGACGATTGAGGTAGATATTAACCCTGAAGTACAAGAAGGGGAAAGAGCCTTTATTGTCTTAGTGAAGCTGGCGACACATTTTATCTGCTGGATAGTGGCCGAGGGGGTGTGGGTGCCCACAAAGAAAGAGGCATTGCCCAGATGGATCTTCTGCCCCAAAAATTGTTCATACTTAGAGAGGGTGGTGCACAACTTCTTCATTGGGTGCTTGTCGGCATTGGAAAAGATAATGAGATCATCGCCATAACTTATGTGGGTAATGATAGGGAGACCAGGGGTAGTGTGATAGGGCAGAGCACAACCAGAAGGCTACAGGTGATTGATATTCCGACTAAGAGTCTCACTGAAAACGATGAAGAGGATCGGGTAAAGTGGGTCTCCTTGCTTAACACCACAAGATGGTTTGAGAAAAGCACAAGGCATCCCTTTAATGAAAAACCAGGTACTACGAAGGTTGTTGAGCATGAGGTGGATGGAGCAGTTGTGGAAGCAAAACTTAAGACGGGTAGCCTCAAGAAAGTATCATGAGACAGTTGGTCGAAAGCTTTCATCATGTGTAACACTGTAACTTGAAAAAGACATTATATTGTGTACCCTTTGCTGTCCAAGAAGCGAGTGAGCTCAGTCACGAGGAGGATATTGTCACTGTTTTTTTTTACGTTGTTGGAAAGCACATTGTTGCAGTGAGATGATTTTAAGAGTATGGATATGATTCCAGTGGAGAGTATTCTGGTAACGATCTTTTTAAGGAAGGTGCAAAGACTGATAGGACGGAAGTTAGCAAAGGTGGTGGGGTGATGTTCTTTTGGGATGAGTGTGATGATCATGTGGGCTATGACCTTAGGGATCGTAATTCCTCACATGAACCCGGGAAGAACCTAATAGAGATCCTCCTCAATAATATTGTGACATGTGTGGTAAAAGTAGCCATCGAAGCCATCACTACCCATAGCACTGTCTTTATCTAAGTGAAAGACAGCGTCTCGGAGCTCAACCTTAGGGATAGGCGAGAGCAGGATTTGGTTATCCTCGTCGTTCATCACCGAGGAAATAGCATTTAAAAATCAGAATTTGAGGGGTCGGACCCATATGAAGTGGATAAAAGGTTTTGATAACACTTAATCACCTCAGATTTTATACTCTCAGGGTCATGTAACCGCTCCCTGTCATCAGATTTAATCTTGGTGATAGCCAGTTGAGATTGTTTTTTTTTAATAAAAGCATGAAAGTAGCTGCAATCAACATCCCCTTCTTTGGCCCACTTAATTCTAGTCTTTGGCTTAAAGAAGCATTCACGGTCACGCATACACCTAACATGATTGGCTTGAGCTTTCGCGAGTTCCAGAAGGGCCTCATTGGTCAGATTTTCCTCCAGCCTCTCCTGAAGAGCACCGAGGTTGGTTCTCCTCGGCCAGCTTCAAGTTGTCATAAACGTTGCCAAAAGTCCTTTTGTTTCACTCTTTAAGGGCAATTCTGAGCTATTTGAGCTTCTTATAGAAGCGGAACATTTTGTACTTTTTTTCTTTAATCCATAAGGATCATAAGTGACTTTATTTGCCATATTTGTGTATCTACAAGTTCTCAAGTGGAATGGCTGTTCATTATCAAATTATCTTCTATGAATGCAACTTTGAAGTTATCTGTCTGCTTTTAGTTATTATACAAGCATACTTTTTCCCTACATTATGGTATGCATAATTCTGTATCACCTTTTTAAAATGTGTGTAGGGAGGGATCTTCACGTGGATTTGGTTTAAGGGTAAACAAATCTGTTGAAGGATCAGATTCCTGGGTTGATGATCCCATTGCACGTCACATGATAAGTCTGCTAATAAACAAAGAAGATGAAGTGAATCATATTATATGGCCTTTGATTATGCACATCAAGGGCCATTATTGTGTTCTTATACTGCCATTAGTTGAACCACATCAGCTCAGAGTGCATTCAAATATTTGTCAAAGAGCAGACTGTGGAAACTCTATTGTAGCAGAAGAAAATTTATCTTCTCTTCTTCTTCACCTTCCATCCATCACAGGGTATGGTAAGTTATATGCTACTCCCTCCGTCCTATAATGATCTTCCCGGTTCGCAAAACGAAGAAAAATCCCAAGTTTTTTCAATCTATTTTATTTAAATATTGGTATAGAAATAAAAAATAAAACATACATATTTAAAAACTACATCAAAAGTTCAACAAAACAAGTGGTGACAAGAATATTTTATTTTATCATATAGGCCATGAAAAAACACAAATAAATATAAATTCCCGTGAAGTTGGAATAGTGCTCTGGGAAGATCATTATAGGACGGAGGGAGTATATCTTAATGTGAAAAGAATGCTGTCTTTAGCATGCATCTATCCTTCAGGCCTTGATCAATGATTGCTGCCTAAAAGTTGCCATAAGATACGTGTCTATAACAAAAGCTACTCTGATATGAAGACAAGATATACTGTATGTAACATGCATCTGTCCACGTCCATGGTCAATAATTTCCACTTTTTGTATCAGGGCAGGTTTTGTTATAGGCACACCGGTTTTCACTTTTTCATTAGCAATTCTATCTTTAGGAGTTGTTATTTATTCTTGTATTTGTTTGATTCAATTATCTTTGGTCATTTCAATGTTCCTATGTATTGAATATGCAAATTTCTAATTACCTGTGCTTGGCAAACATCTTCTTCCACTATTGTTGCAGTCTCGCGCTCGGCATCACCTCTTGCACTCATCCATTCTGAATGCCACATTTTGTTCCTCACTCTCATTTCCTATCAAAATTTTCTTTTCTGCCCCTCCTTTGTCATTTATACCGAGTCATTATCATTCCAAATTCTACAAATAAATTCTCAAATTGAATCACATGAGAACAGAAACACCAAGTTATAGCTGTCGTCTAGTGGTTGTCATTCACTTTAATGGGGGATGGTTGCTAATTATATGATTACGTGTGTTGGTGTTTGTTGGTTTTGGTGGTGGAAGCTTGTTGTGGTCGTGGTTGTTGGGGCTGCCATTGTCGTCGTTGATGTCTTTATCGGTGATTATAGGAGGTTGTTAAAGCCCGATTATTCTGATATCTTACTGGTTTAACTTCATTAATTGCAATCTTTGCTTAATGCAGGGCCTTTATTGTGGCTCATATGCTTGGAGATGTTATAACAGGCGATGTAACAGAACCAGAAATACTTATAAACACATCTCCATCCGTGGGAGGGTTGTTGGATTCTCTCACTGGAGGTATTGGCATTTCAGCAAGAGCAAAGCCTTTAGGTTCACCAGCTGCAGGACCTACTGGGTCCAGTAGTGGTATTGGTGGATCAGTGGCAACTGATGGCCCAAAGGTTGGATTGAGACCCCTCGACAAGGATGCAATTCGGTCTTTTATTTGTAGCGCTATGCCATTTGGTTGGTGTTCTTTATTAGGAGTATGATAACATTCCCTTTTAAACATGTTTGTTCTCTATTGCTAACATTGCATTTCATGGCTGCCTGCATTTTTCAGGTACACCTTTGGACCTGAACTACACAAATATTTCATCCATCAAGATTAATGGTTTTCCATCCGCAGATATGCCTCCTACAGATAACAAGCAACCGGCATGGAAGCCTTATCTTTACAGAGGTAAGCAAAGGATCCTCTTCACAATTCATGAGATCGTTCATGCTGCAATGTATGACCGCGATGAGATTCCAGATAGCATAAAGATTTCAGGTCAAGTGAATTGCCGGGCAGAGTTAGAGGGGTTGCCTGATGTTATGTTTCCATTAACTGGGTTAGACACTGCTCATCTAGAGCTATTATCATTTCATCATTGTGCTCAAGTTCCAGAGCATGGCAACGATAAGCAAGCATTGATGTTCTCTCCACCATTAGGGAATTTTGTGTTAATGCATTATCAAGCATTTTGCCGCATTGGCCCTCCAATAAAAGGATTCTACCAACTTTCAATGGTCTCAGAGAATGAAGGTGCATTCTTGTTTAAATTGCGTCTAATGGAAGGTTACCGATCTCCACTATCCATGGATTTTTGTTCAGTAACCATGCCCTTTCCTAGGAGAAAAGTGGTCTCTTTTGATGGAACACCTTCTCTAGGAACAGTTTCAACCACTGAGCATTCACTTGAATGGAAAATTATCACGACTGGTAGAGGAGTCTCAGGGAAGAGTGTGGAGGCAACATTTCCTGGAACAGTTAAGTTCGCTCCATGGAAAAAACAAAGCCTTGGAAATGTGGACGATGAAGACGGTGAAACGGATGCAACTGACAATGCAATAAACCTGGAGGACTTTTTAATGGAAAAAATGAGCAAGGACCTTCAAGCAGTTGAGTTGGAGGAGCCATTTTGTTGGCAGGCATATGATTATGCTAAAGTACATTTCTATCTCCATCATGGACACAAACCACACAGAGTACTTTGTCATTTTTTGTGGCTCATATTCTCTTGCATATATGCCACTTGCCATTGGAGCTAAACGAGTTATTTTTGACAATTGTTAAGCTTTGGGCTAATAATGGACTAATTAAAACAAAATGGCAGATCAAACTTCCATTCTTTCTTACTTTTTATGAACTTTTGGGCAGTAAATGCATCAAGGTTTTACTGGAAACGGCCTCTCTGCCTTTTCAGGGGTAAGGTTGCGTATATCTTGACCCCCAGAACCCAATATGGAGTTGCCTAGTTGGGATTATTTTGGGTTTGTTGTTATTGTTGTTGTTGTTGTTGCTGTTATCTTTCAAATAACTAATTGTACCCTGACTGGTTTTATGTGATTGCAGGTCTCTTTCAAAATAATGGGAGGAACAGTATCAGGAATGACCATTGATCCAAAATGTGTATGTATAACATTCATCACCCATTTAGGATAGTGTTTTCTGACATCAAGATATTAATACTCGCAGATGATCATTTAGAATGATTTTGTATTACCTTTAATAAATTGAATCCTAAATGTTCAGTAATCTGTGTAGGTAACCATTTTCCCAGCCGTCAAAGCACCTGTAGAATTCTCGACTCAGGTATCAAATTCGGTTTATAGTTTTCTTACAGCGTCGGGTATCAAAATCATTACTTTCCATTCCTTAGATTGGCAATATTTTTGTGTGAGCTCTGAACATGACATGGTTAACAACCTCATTATCTTGAAATACTACATATATAAATTTAGTTCTCTACCTCTAAGGCCAACACTTACGCATTTCAAAATATTGACTGATATTTTTTAATATATCCACATTGCTAGATTTGCCTTACTGCAGTTGGTAGTGATAGAAACCATGATAACTATCTTAGTTATGCTCGAAGTTTGTAAAAGTGGAAATGCTTTCACAACAAACAGTCTTTTCAAACCACAAAAAAAAGAATGGAAAATGATGTCTGAAAATTTACTTTTGGAAAATGAGTTATTTTCTAGAAGTCAATTTCCCCCTTCCCAAACAAACCCTTAGGCTCCGTTTGGTACACGGAGTTCGAGTCCTGTAATTGGAATTGGGGATCTCATTTCCAATTCTGGTGTTTGGTAGCACAAAAATATGTGAATTTGGAATTGGTAGTGGAACAAATGAATTGGAATTGGAGAATTCGATCCAATCGAATTCAATTCCATAGAATTTCAATTTCGATTCAATCCCATGTACCAAAGGGACCCTTAGGCTTCGTTGGGTACACGAAATTCAAACTATAGAATTGGAATTGGAGACTTCAATTTTAATTCTACTGTTTGGGAGCACAAGAATATGTGAATTTGGAATTGAATTCTACTTCCAAATTTTCCATATCAATTCCAAATACATGTGGATTGAGTAGCACAAAAATATGTAGATGTACTATAATCATAATACAGTTCCATATCTTTTCCATTTACAATTTGATGTTACCGAACAAAGAATTGGAATTATAATATACAATTCAATATCAATTCGTTAATTATATCAAGCAAAGGATTTGGAATTGAATTCTATCCAATTCAATTCTATAAAATTTCAATTCCGATTCAATGCCAATTTCGTGTACCAAAGAGAGCCTTAGTCTTTTATGCAAAGGATAGAGAAACACTATGAACCACATAATATTTTCTATAAATGGAGACAAACGATATATTGTGACAGGCCAAAAAGAAAGCATGCATGAAAAATTGGGACTCGGGAGTAAAATTTTCTGATATTTCCATTTGGGTTCTCTGAGAATTGAGCTTCTGTTTTTGCTAACTTCGGCACGGTTGAACAGGTCACATCTGGTGATTACGTTATGTGGAACACATTAGGAAAATGCCCTGTTGCCCCTACACCAAAAGCTTAGTTCTGGTGCATCTTGTGGTCTTATGTAAAGGAGAAGCTATATAAAGATAAGACATTTTTTATGCTCAGTTCCTAATATGGTGGAGCTGCAATTTTCAATTGCCCCCCACACCCCCCCCCCAAAAAAAAAGAAAAAGAAAAAAAGAACTGATCTGTCTCAAGTATTTTAAAAATATAAAAAGCTCTAACCTATTTTAATAATACCCCTGTACTTGTTTATAACAGAGAATAGGAATAGCTTTGTTGCAAAATTTGGGAGAATGTGTGAGTGCTATATGGATCCATTAGGTGTTTGTATGGAAGGGAGGAAACGTGGATATATGGTCTTTTGAATTCCTTGTATCTTGCTCTCCCAATCTGGGAGGTTCATGTTCTTTTCTTTAAGCTTTACTTTTGTTTTTCTTCTAGCAAATCGGTTTACATTTCTATCATGGGTGATGCTAAATCCCACACCTAAGTGGCTATATTCACACATTTCCCGAAAGTTGTTAAATCCACACCAGTATCAAAGTAATATTAGTAGGTGTTGATTTAACAAATTTAGGTGAAAGGTATGGATATAATTATTTAGGTGGATTTATTATTATTATTATTATTGCTATTATTATTATTATTATAATTGCACCAAATCACCTATATTTTCGCGCTAAGGGAATGTGGAGTGAACTGTGTCTTGCAAGTTATTCCATATATTACGGAGGAGTAATTGCGTAAGACACCCCAACAATGAAAGATCTAGTCCGTACGTAGTAAAATTGCAACGTTGGATTCCGAGAGTGTGTATGCAAATTTAGGACAAATAACTGGTTTTCGAGGGCTTGCTACTGATACTTCTAAAAGAATAAACGTAGTAAAAGAAAAGGCAAGCAAGAAGAGAAGCTTAACTGCTCTGGAGTACACCTAGTTGCAACAAACAATAGTGAGTTCCACATAAGTGACAGACCACTCCCTCTCCATCCCTTAGGCTTGAAGTCAAGGTTATATCTTTTGTTTGCTTCTAAATTTATGAAACATGTGTAGCCTCTCTCCTAACTATTCTTAGGGCAACCCCCTTATCTTTAATTTCAAACCTCTTGCATCTCCATTTTGGAGTATTGGAATTTTTTCTCTCGCATGTGCCAGACCATCTTAGTTTAACTCCGTTGAAGCATGCTGGCGTAGTGACAAGAAAGCCACCACAAGCTTCTCCACATGCATCCAGAGTTCGAGCCCCACTTCTTTGTTTAAGAGGTTGATTTTAGTTTAAACACATACTACATTGATGAATTTGATGGGTATGAGACACTGCAAGAAAAATGCCTTTTAGCTTGAGTACAAACCGTCACTAAAGTCTCTCTAATTAATTACAAATAATGACGGTACTTAGATCACTACAAAAAAGTAGTGATATGAGTATATACCCAAATTTAACCCAGACCCTAATTTGAGCCCTAGCACATACTAAATATTAACAGGATATGGAAAAAGAAATTATTTTATTAAAAAGTTGTAAATATAAACTTACGACCAGAGCAGAGTCGGAGCCTCTACAAGATGACCGGAACAAAACTGTACTAAAATATTACATAAAAATTGAGAACGGAAACTAAAAATGGAGTTTGAGCCTTAAAAGTCCCAAAAGAATTGATGATGAGCAGGGGCGGAGGAGGGGGGGCATGCCTGGGCAAGTAGGATTAGGAATACTTGTATATATAATCACATGTACTCCTACACAATTATTCAAGGAAAATACAATTCTTCAGAGAAGATACTTAGCAAAAGGTCCTTGTAAGCCAAGAATCGAACTCTTCTTGTTGTTGATTTTGAATTTGTAGATTTTGTTGTTCTATAGCCTTTTTAAAGTCTGCCAGCATCTTTTGCATCTGCTCCAAATATTTGCATTGTTCGCGTTCAAACTTCAAATCTTTTTGGATGTGGAGCAGTCGCCTTTCTTCTCGAACTGTCTTATGAAGTTGTTCTCTCGCCTAGATTGTATCTCTATGTGCTTTGATTTGCTCTTCGCAAGTCATAGAGTAATCACAATAATAGAGTGGTTCAAATGATGAACACTCCACCACTAATGCTAGGTCAAGATTATATATTTTTCCATAGTCCATAGAATTTCTACAATTTGAGGATCTAGCTTGTCGTTGTATATCAACCTTGATCGGTCGTAATCATCTTGATCACCATGAGTTTCATAATAATCCACACAAATCACTACAAAAAACTGCTAAAATCGCGATGGAAAAATTCCGTCGCCAAAGGCTTTTTTCCGTAGGTAATCGGTTTAACGATGGAATTAACGACTGTTTTTTTCCTTCGTTATTTTTTCGTTAGTATCAAAGTTAGCGACGGTTTTTGAATTCCGTCGCCAGGCAACGACGGAATTGGCGACGGAAAATGGCGACGGTTTTAGCGACGTAATTTTTCCGTCGCCACGTTTAACGATGGAATACCAACCGTTATAACAATGTGACCACATAGCGACGGAATTAGTATTCCGCCGCCGAATTAACATCAATGCAACAAAATCCTGCAATTTTTTCAATTTCACACAAGAACAGCATCAACCTGCTCTAAATCACAACACAGTATCAAACAACCAACAAATACTAGAAATGAAAAGTACCAAACAACCAAAAATATTCAAATCACCTAGTTACAATTAAAATTCAAATAATATTTATAAAATTCAACTTAACAAAGATATCTCACTCCACTTACATAACCATAAAACTTAAGTTTAATATAATGTTCTTCAATTCTAATAAAACACGTACTCAACAAGCGCCTGCAAACCTTGACCCTCCTCCATCTCCACTGCCATCTCCATTTCCATGTGGGAATACTCCTCCATAGAGTCGGGTCATTTCTTCTCTAATCGACTAGCTCTAATTTCGTTTAGCTCTCCTCTCAACCTCCTAATTTCATAGAGGATCCCACATAGAGCTGGTGGTAGCACGTCTTGCCTCACTTGCATGCTTTCGTGGTAGGCTCCGTGCGAGATCTCCAACACCATGAACCCGATTCTTGGCATCATAACCTCCGACTGTAGATCTAAAAATCTCGTCAGGTGTCACATTTAAGCCTTGTTCACGAACTGCCTCCTGCATGGCTACGTAGTTTTGCTGCAATACACCAAACATACATGTATTATGAATTCACATTCAATTGAATTCAATGAAAACTAATCATATATATATATATATATATATATATATATATTCATTGTCACTTATTGATACTTCTTCTGCCTTCTTATTGACGTAGGTCTTCCCATCATGTTTCTTTGTATGTGTGTGTGTGCACGAAGAGTACAAGTCAGAAGTTTGTCCACTTTTACCCTAAAAATATATATATAAATAAGTGGAAACATGCCACTTAGAGCATTTTAACGTAATTTTTGTTACTAATACTACTTACCGATGTGCGTGGCGCTAGCAGGGACACTCTCGTCACCGCCACGACGATTTTTCTGAAACTCTCTCAAGTAAAAGTCCACTGTTGTGTCACTTAGGCTCTTCCTACTACCCATGTTGGATCGAGCCTCCGCTGGAATGTGGAACAAATTATTCGAGCTCCCTCCTCCGTGATGATGTCACTACATGATATTATATTTACAACTGTATAATATATTATAATCATGTATAGAAGCAAAAAAAAGATATATATGTAGAGCGATCAACTCTTACAAATCTTACAAGAACAACGCATCTGCCCTTTCAATCTATCTACTTTTGGATTTGACTCACAAAACTCAATGAATTGTCTTACTTTGTCAACCCAATCTGTATTTATAAAATCTGAACTATCAAGTCTTTTGTACATCCAATCTCGATTTTCATGAAAGTCACTCATGAGAAATTCAAACAAATAAAATTAACATACTATTAAGTTATACTAGTATCACACCCGTGCGTTGCACGGCTTGTATTTACGTTATAAATTTATATTGATATCATATTTATTGCCACCCAAGTATGAAGTTATCCCCCATCATATGTCCATATAAAAATATACCATCTATAAATAGTATGTATTTTCCATATATACGGAGGATTGTTTTTTCCTAAAATAATTATCATTATATAATATATGCACCGAGATTACCATATGTAATAATAA